ACGTGGGCTCAATGCCCCGCATCGCGAAAAAGCAGCAACAGCGAGCGGGCGGGCGGGTGCCCAGCGCGGGCTCCGGCTCCGGGTCCGGCTCCACTGAGAGGCGCCGCCGCGAGCCCCCGCAGCCTTACCTGTCGCGCGGCGCCGTTCAGCAGCGGCGTCCCTTCGCCCGGCCGCGCTGTCCTCCGCAGCAGCGGCGCCGCCTCCTCGTCGTCGCGGTCGCGGCCGGACCACGACACCTTCTTGGAGACGTTGGCCATGGCCCGCGGAGCCGGGACTCGGCGGCAAGCGGCCGCAGCCGGGAAGCGTTCTCGTGACCCGCTCCGGCGCCACGTGACCTGCCCGCGTTCACGTGACCGGAGACGGCGGCCGCGGAGGGCCACGCAGAGACGCCTCCCAGAGCCCTTGCGGGCCGGGGAGCCCCAGCCGAGGCAAGCTTCTTCCGCTCGCCCGCGTCGCGAGACCCCGCGGAGGCTGGCGGCTAACGGCGGCCCGGGGCCTGGCGCTGCGGACAGTTGGCGAATAGTCGGTGTCACCTGCTAGATGGCAGTGTCACCGAAGGGGCCGTTTCCCAGTGTGACCGTCCCACCCTAGCTCTCGGGAGCTGCGACTGGCCGCGCCCCCTGGTGGCCACAGTGTGTGTGCAGCTCCCCGCAGGACAAGAAGCGAGGCACGGTCAAGTCCCCGCAGGTGGCCTTTGGCACTTAGCCAGGACAGAGGCAGTGCAAAACGGGGCGACTAAACCAAGACTAACCGTGGCTGCGCTCTCGGGAGAGCGGTGCTCACCGAGAGTTGGCGCTGCCAGGGCCGCCGCGCAGTGGTAGGGCGCTTGCCTGGCGAGTGCGGGCCTGGGTGCCCTCGCCAGCGCTGCCGCGGGAGCCGGAAGGGAGGATGCTTGGAAAACCACTACTCACAAGGACTCAAGGAGCCCAAACTTACCATCCCGAAGGGCCATGTTTTTGAAGTGAGACTTGCCCAAGATGGAGCTGCATTTACAAAATTCAAAAAAAGTTAAGGTCAAAACCTGCCTGCTTGGGGCTGGGGTTGTGGTGGCTCAGTGGCAGAGCACTTACCTGGAACATGTGAGGCACTGGGTTCGATTCTCAGCACCGCATAAAAATAAACGAACAAAATAAAGATTTGAAGAAGAAGAAAAAAAAAAACTGCCTGCCTGACTTTACTCAAGAGCTGTGCTCACCGTCCATTCCAAAAATGGCAGACCATTGTTGAAGCTCATGTGGATGTCAAGACTATTAATGGGGTAGGGGATGCAGCTGAAGAAGAGTGCTTGCCTAGTATGTGTGACCTCATGATTCAGTCCCCAGCAATGTGAGGGGGGGGAAATGCTTATTTACTTCATTTGTTCTTTGTTGGTTTTACTAAAAAAAATGCAATAATCAGATTGTAGATTGATCATGTTTGGCACCAAATCTGCCAGATCCAGAAGATGAAAATCATGATTCCAAAGGCTCAAGCAGGAGGATCACAAGTTTGAGATGAGCCTTGGCAACTTAGTGAGCCCCTGTCTCAAAATACAAAATAAAAAGAGCTGAAGATTCCTGGGTTCAACACTTAGTACTAGGAGGGAAAAAGTGACCAATAAATCAATCCTAGAGAGCATTGGGAAAGATGCAGAAAAGGTATCATCTCCATGATGTCCACGTGGAAATGTAAACATGCTGAAGGAAGCCCAGGGTCGTGTTGGGAAGCAACTAGAGCTTCATGGTGAAGGTCTGACCCATCACAGGTAAGACAGGGTCTGCACTGGAACAGGCTGGTGACAGTGAACCCCCAGTCCAGGAATCCATGTGAAATACAGACTTTAAGTGGTGACAAAAAAAGATCACTCTAGGGTACTTGTATATGGTGTGCAAAGTATTAGTCTTACAACTTTTTTTTAGGTTTTAAAAGTTCTTTTGAGTCTCCAAGGCTGAGAAGATAATAGAACATCTCCTTCCCCAAAATAATTCTAAATAGAAACTAAACCCAGAATAAGAGGAAGGAAGTCCAACAGGGTTTTGAATTTTCCCCATGATTACTGTTTTGTTTCTTAGGTTGAACACACTTATATTTTTTGAGACAGGTGTAAGGAAAGTGGCACAGGACACACTGAAAATCACCCAGACACATTGAAGCCAAGCAGAAGCAAGTTTATTGTTATTGTCCAAAAAACAGATAAGGCTGTCTCTGCGCAGAGAGAAAGCAGCAGACCTCCGCAGAGCCTGGGTTGTACATTGGGGGTGGGCTTAGCCCTTGCTATTGCAGGTGGAGAGCAAGCTTCAAAACCTCTAGAACCACAAGGGGGGAGGGGCATGAGGAAAAGGCACATTACCACCAGCTCCTGGAATTGGCAGGCCCCTGTCTGGGAGCACTATGGTCAGGGTGCAGGTGGGTGGAGGTGTCAGCCTCTGGGTGAGTGGACTCTTGCAGGAAGGAGGAATAGGATGGGGAGCAGGGTGAGGTGTCTGGCCAGAATAGAGTTAGCTTGACTTAACTTTCTTAATTAACACATAGTTATGTTAACAGCCTAACAACAGGGTATCACTAAGTTGTTGAGGCTGGCCTCAAACTTGTAATTCTCCTGCCTCAGCTGCCCCAGTAGCTGGAATGACAGGCATACACTGCTCCCTGATTGCTCTGCAGTGCTTTTTGTGAAGTTACAAAAACAATTTTCTTTCTTTTTCATTTTCGTTCCTGGGATGGATTGAGCCCAGGTGCATTTAACCACAGAGTCATGTCCCTAGCCCTTTGTATTTATTAATTTAAGACAGGGTATCACTAAGTTGCTTAGGTCTTTGTTAAGTTGCTGAGGCTGTCCTTGGACTTGGGATCCTTCTGCCTCAGCTCCTCCATCCCCGAGCTGCTGGAATTACAGGTGTGTGCCGTGGTGCCTGGCTCCCCATGCCCCTTGGGAGCAGGGATCTGCCACCTGACTGCAGGACTGCAATGAGTTGCCATTCAGTGGAGGTCACGGGCTTAGGTCTTCTAGGCGAGTAGGGTTTGGGGGAAGGTGGTGGGTAGGCAGAAGAGTTAAGCAGAATAGTGGCATGGACATGGCAGGTCATGATAAGACTAGTTCCTAGGGTTCAGGGTAGTACCAGGGAGGGTGGACCATCTCTGTGGAGGGTGGAGCTGTTTTCCAAAGATAGTCCCTTCTGGGGACTGGACCCAGAAATTTGCAGGATGAATGCTCTGCCACTGAGCTAGCCACTCCCCCCATGTGTCATCTTAGGGACATATGTGTGTGTCAGAAAACAAATGGGCTGGGCTGAGTGGCTGTGGGAGAAAAGAAACCAGCCCATGGCTCTTCGTTGGAACTCACTTCCTGCAACCACTTGGGGTCATTTTGTTTTCCATACCCAGGAATGGAATAGATTTGGGTTAAAGGAAGAGTCTGGTGGCATTAGAGGGGGATGTGGTTTATGCCTGAGAGTGTATAGGTGACTTTATTTCTGCCTCCAGTAGGAATGGTGAGTCCTGTTGGATACATGTTCAGACTGCCTGGCTCCTAAACCAGACTGGCTTCCCAGATCTGCCTGCCCCAAATTCCCCTCCAGTCCCTGGGCTCTTACCATGCTGTCTGACACTGCCTGTGACCCTGCTCACTTGCCCCAACTCCAAACCCTTGCTCCAGTGTCTTGCCCAGCTGGAGCCCCCACCCCAACAAGCATCCTGAACATATTCACTCTCAGTGACACCTGCCTCTGCAGAATGCAAGGAGCTCCAAGTCTGGGGACTTGACCAAACACTGCTGTGACTACTTGACATCTTTGTTCTTCAGGGTGTGGTAAGAACCTGAAAGTGGGGGAGTGTGTGGAAATAACACCCTGTGGGTCTTCTGCCCTGGCTCTGCACTGGGTGAAGGAAGCTACCTGTTGTCTTTGGCTGAGGATGATCAAGAATTTTGAAATCAAACCGTGAGAGGCTCAACTTCTGCCAGCTCCTAAGGTCTTGTGCAAGATGGCTATGCTGGGACCTAGCATTCTGTTCCTCCAAAAACAGTGACCAAGCAGATTGCCAGTCTTTCCAAAAGAAAGATGTTAGATGAGAAGTGAAATGGCAGGATGAGGTGTATGAGAAGGAGGGCTTTTAGCAAGAAGCAGGGGTGCACACCTGTGGTCCCAGCGCTTGGGTGCCTGAAGCAGGGGATTGCTTGAGCACAGAGTTCAGAGCCAGGCTGGCTAGGCTGGCCCCCATCTAAGAACTAATCAGAGAAGATGGGGTCTTCATCAAGTTTGACTGCCCTGGAGAAGCAGAAGCCAGTGATTCAGGGGAGTGTCACATGGGCGCTCGTGGGGATTTCCAGTATGAAAATACCTCCCTGACCTTGACTCATGAACAGGCAGTGTTGGGGGAGGCCAGAAGTGCGGGGTCCACTGAGATTGGAGAGATGCTGGTGAGACTGCAGTGCTAATTTGGGGCACTGTCCCCCTAGAAGTGTGTGCCTGTTGGCTAGCTGTCTTCCCATGGGTAAAGGTGGCTAGCTACCCAAGGCCTCTACAGAACTGAAATCACCACACATGAGGTTCAGAGGGCCTTAGTCCTCCAGCAACACTCCAGGGTTCTTCCAGGCCTAGGCATGGGTCTTCTCTAATCTGCTTTTGCACTTTTAAAATGGGAAGGCGTGGTGGTGCACACCTGTAATCCCAATGATTCTGGAGGCTGAGGCAGGAGGATTTCAAGTTCAAGGCCAGCCTCAGCAACTTAGGGAAGCCTGACTTAAAATAAAACAAAAGATCTGGATGTATCTCTGTAGTATACCATCCCCAGTACCACCCCCACTCCCATTTCACCCCCCCCACAAAAAAAAATAAATAAAAATGAATAGGGAAAAAATGTCTAGATGAATTTACCATATGGCATTCAGTCTTGGGGACTTGTCTAAAATAAAACTGTGTCCACTCAGGGTTGGGGTGTGGCTTGGTGGCAGAGTGCTTGCCTGCCACACATAAGGTCAATCCTCAGCACCACAAAACAAAAGAAGTCCAAAGATCTGTAGGAGAATGCACATAGCAGCTTTACTCATAGTACCTAAAAGCTGGAAATAACCCATATGCCCATCGGCTGGGGAATGATGGACAAAATGTGGTCCATTCACACTATGGGGTGGCACTCAGCCACCATGTGCTGTGTGAGTCCACCTCAGAGGTGACCAGGACAGGCAAATCCATGCAGAAGAGGGTCACCAGTGCTGGGGCAGGTGTGGTCACTACAGGGGCAGTGCTGAGAAGCAACTGAAATACTCGAAAACTACATCATGTGGATGGTTGCACAGGTCAGTATTCTTGCTAAAAGTCTTTGAAGTATACACTTAAATTGGTGCACTTTATAATGTGAAAATGATACCTCGTGAAGCTGATGAAGCAGCATAGCTGGTCTATCCTCGATGTCATCAGCCACCAAGCACGAGAGAACAGGACTGACCAGTTGGCCTCAAAGGCCCCCAGTGTGCCTGGGGAGGGACTGTAGTCTTGAGGGCCAGGAAGCACATGCTGAAGCCTTTCCACAGGGATGCGAGAATAGCTCTCACCCATAGGAACCTTTCCCAAGTGCCCTGAGAGGTGGCAGTGACATGGCAGATGCTGTCTTTGCTGTCTCGAGGAAGGGGAACCCCCAGAAACAAGACTTCTGTTGGCCTTTCATCACTTCAAGACCACTCAGGGTGACCTGAGGCTTTGAAGGCGCAGCACAAAAGAACACCACAGCCTGGGAAGAGGCAGCTCTGGTCTCCAGCAATTCCACCCACCCCACCCCATGCAGGAATGCCCTGGACAGCACATGGGGGCCCTGTGGAATGGGTGGAGGCTTGCTACTCCTGCTAACCCAGAACATGACCTCACCCCCAGTAGGGTGAGGCCTTATGGACAGAGCTCCAGACAGGTGCAGTTGGCCCTCTGCACAAACTTGCCTACCCATGAGGCATTGGCCAGTGTCAGGATGGCACCAGTAGGGAGCTCCTTCCCGATGGCAAGGTTCGCAACCTCTCCAGGGACCAGTGCCCGGTCCCAGATGGCCAAGCCAGACATGCTCCCCACAAAGGCCTCAGATCTGTCAAACCCTCCACCAACACTGTCTTGCTCCTGGCCCAGCACAAGGGACCCTCCAGGAGGGATCTCATAGCCCTCCCTAAAGTGGGAGCCAGTGGCCACTAGCCTGCGGTCCACATGGAGCCAGTACTTGCCCTGGACAGATGTCCAGATGATACAAATGTGGTGCCACTGGCCATCTAGCAGCAGCTGCAGAGGCAGCTCCCTGAAGGCTGGGTCTCCGATCACAAAATGGAGGGACCCGGGGATCAGTGAGTCTCGGCCATGCAGTACCACCTTGTTGTCATTCTCTTCAGTGGCGTAGGAGAGGAGGGTGCCCAGGTGGCCAGAGGATGTGCGGACCCAGCTGCAGAAGGACAGAGCTCGTAGGGCTGTGAGGAAGCTGGGGCTGAGGAAGATCACGTTCTCAGGGGAGGCATCCGGGAATGTGAACACGGGACCCAGGTTGCAAACTAGAAACAGAGGGAGGGGGAGTCAGCCCTGCAGCAGGAGCCCCACAAATGGTCCTCACTCTGGAGGGTGGACTTGCGGGGCCCTGCAGCCACACCTCCTGGAGGACAGCTTGAGCTAGGAAGGCTGAGGGTTCCTCTAGTTCCTCTTGCTTGCCCTCAGGATGTGCCACCCCCAGGCAGGAACTGAGAATGAGGTTAGCCTTCCCAGGGAGCCTTCAGTCCCTAGTTAAGCCTGAGCTGTCTCCTAAGAAGGGGAGCAGATGACCATTAGCACCAGGGCACCTCTGGATGCTGTAACAAATTGCTACAAATTTAGTGTATTTAAACAGCCTAGGCTTACTATTTTATGTTTTTGGAGGCTAGAAGCCTGATGCAAGTCTTAAAGAGCCCAAATCAAGGTGTCTCAGGACCAGCTCCTTCTGGAGGCTCCAGAGAGACATAATCTCCTGCCCTTCCCAGCTACTGGAGGCACTAGCCATCCTTCCTGTCTTCAGAGTGCATCCCACCAACCTGTCTCTGTCCTCATGTCCCCTTCTCTGACCCTCCCACCCCCCTATCTGAGTCCTGTGTTTACACAGGGCCATCCAGTAATTCAGGACCTAACCAGCTCTGCAAGAGGTGCTTCTTCAACGTGAGGAACAGGGGGCCCAAACTGCTGGGACCCACAGATAGGAGACCACCTGGATGAGGAGCAGGGTGGAGGTGGCAGGGGCACCACGGGTTCAGGAGGAGCTACAGGAATCTTGTAAGCCATGGGGAGGGGGCCAGGCCTGTGGCACTTACCTTCTCCTGATCCCTGAGGAGGATCCCTTGGGACTGCAGCAGCCCCACCAGGTGCCCAATGGCTGCTTGGGGCTGGGGGCTTCTGTGTGCCCAGGAGATGGGCAGTGAAGTCCCGGGACTCTGTTGGGTGAGGAGCAAGGTCCTGCCTATCTGTCAGCAGCATCAGTGGGCCCGGGTGCACAGGCTGAGCTGGAGTTGGGGCTGGGGTCCACCCTGGGGCTGCAGTGCCAGGGCTGGCCATCTGTAGTTGACCCTCGAGAGCAGCCAGCCTAGCACCCTGGCTGTGGACCTGGTGTGTCAGGCTGACCAGTGCATCCTGCAGGGCCTGTGTGCCCAGGGCCAGGCCTGAAATGACATCCCTCTGTGTCTTCTGCTCCTTTCCTGCCTGTACCCACTGCCTGGTTTTCTCAGTCAGGGCCAAGTCCAAGGCCTGCAGTCGCATGCCCATCTTCCGGCTTCGGTGCTGAGTCTTCCTCACCCAGGCCTTCAGGTGGGCCAGGTCCCCCTGGATGGCAGCCTGTGACCTGTTGACTGTCAGAGCCACAGCCTGGCTCTCCTCTGCCAGGCTCTGTAACTGGGCATCAATGTCATAGGACATGTTGTAGTTGTTGGCAATGCCCTTCAGCTGTGTTAAGGTCACTTCTTGGAAACTCCGAAACTGTAAAGAGGACACAGCAGTTATGAGGGGCAAGGATAGGGCAGGGATAAGGCCTTCCTGCTCACACCTCAGAAGAACCTCTGTGTTCTGGGCTCGTGGTCAGCGCTGCACAGTGACCCTTGCCATGACACTAGGAGATGCAGGTAGGGGCCCAAGCTCAGAGCGGGCGATGGAGCCCAGGCCCCACTGCAGCACTGGGGAGCATGGGTTCACCTTGCAGTCTCTGATCCTCCCCCACATCCCAGGTTCTAAATGGCCACCGCCAGTTGCTTCAGTTGCAGGCAGGCTGGGCTGGGCTGCATGTGTGCTTGACTGGGCTCAAAGCAGAAACTTGTGGTGCTGGGGCACTGTCTGCAGACCCCACACAGGAGTCTGGGGGCCACCCATGCCTTCTGCTTTGAGGTAAACTAGGGACCTCATGGCTCCCACACCCAGTGTTTGTGCCCAGCACCATCGATTCCCTAGACCCCACAGCTGTGCTCCTTAGGCCTTCCAGAGCCTCCATACAGACTCTGGTCCCCTGCCAACCACACATCACTCCGCTTATTTTCAGAGTAGAGCCCGGCAAACTCTTCCTGGTTTTCAGTTGTAGGGTAGGGCACTGCTAACTGCTAGCAAGAACCACAAACTGCTTGGATTCTTGGCTCACAGTTCACACCTGCCGCTACAATTGTTCAACATCCAACCTTCATTTGTTGCCAATTTTAAAAATCCAAGAGTGGTACACCTACCTGCTCTTCTAGTCTACGGAGCCTCTCGAAAAATGGTTTTCTTTGCCCTGCTGATCCAGCTTTCTGCAGTGAAGCCCCATGTAGATACATGGGCACCAAAACCAGGAGGAGAGACAGGGTCATCCTCCCTGGCCAACCCATGCTGAGAGAAGAGGGGGCTCCAGCAATCTCTGCAGGATACAGGAGGTGGCCTCTGCCCCAGTGTCTGCCTCGTCCCCCACTCCTTCTGGCTCTCCAGTTGAGCGGTTTTCCTTCCATGGCCCTGGCTGGGGGTCAGGCACTTCCTGCCATCTTAGGGAAAGGCATCTGCCTTCAAGCCTACTGGCTCTGTGGGTCCCAGGTTCCCAGGGAAACAAGCTTAAAACAGCACAAACAGCTTTTCTGGAAAGCTACTCTGCTGGGGCAAGGACTTGTCTTGTGAGCTCAGAGGTGGGCGAGCACTGATGGCTTTAGCAGAAGCACATCGACTCATGTTACCACCAAAAAGTTGAAGAAGGACAGGGAACCCAGCAGGGGCCTGGAAGTCACTGGAGTCAGGTCTGTGTTGGTGCCAGCATCCCAGCCATGCCCAGCCACATCCTGTGAGGCTTTCTCTCCCTTGGAAAGGGAACTGAAATGTGATTGGCCATCACCTTATTTTTTCCTCAGGACTGGGTGATTTTAATTTTTATGTATTTATTGTCTGTTTTTTCTTTTATGGTGCAGGGATTTGAATTACGGGCACTCTACTACTGAGGTTCATCATCAGCTCTTTTCTTATTTTGAGACACGGTCTTGCCAAGTTGCCCAGGTCCTCCTACCTCAGCCTCCCAAGTTGCTGGGATTATGGGAGAGCACGATGGTGCCCAGCTTGATTATTTTTTATTTTGTCCTTAGAGAGGGTCTCACTCTGCTGCCAAGGCTGGTTAAAGCAATGCTCCTGTCTCAGCCTTCCAAGTTGTTGTTTCTTCTTCTTTGTCTTCTTCTTCTTGGTACCAGGAATTGAACCAGGGTTGCTTAACCAGAGTTACGCCCTCAGTCACACCCTATATATTTTGAGACAGGGTCTGGCTGAGTTGCTTAGGGCCTTGCTAAATTGTGGAGGCTGACTTTGAACTTGCAAGACCCTTTCTCAAGATAAAAAACATAAAGGGCTGGGGATGTGGCTCAGTGGTTAAGTGCCCCTGCGTTTAACCCCTGCCCAAGAAGGATGCTTGTATGTTTGTGGAATGAATATGTTTCCAGATTTCCCCCCACATTCACCTCTGCTGAAATGTCACCCCTTCCCAAAGGGGAAGCCTACCTACTCTCCAGGGAGGTCATTAGAACATTCTAGTTTTTTTATTTTCCATCCTGGGGGCAAACCCAGGACTTCATGCACTCCCAGCAAGGGTTCTACTACTGTGTTACCACTTTGCCTCAAGGGGGTGCTCTGATAAACCCAGCCTAATTCCCTCTTAAGATTGGGAGCCATCTCCTCACAAGGCATGAAAAGTTAATTTCGGCTTTACTATATATTACTGCGATTTCTAAACTTGCTTGGAATGCCTGCCGGTGCTTTGAACTCACCCATGCCTGGCTTTCCCTGGCCAGATAAGGACCCTCTCTGAAACTAGTGGCGCCTCATAAATTCTGATGTTGGGATCTAAATTTACTCCCTAAGTGCTGGACCATTAACCTGCCTTTGTGTTATGCTTGTTAAAATCCTGTTATCTGTAAGTTATCAAGACTCCCGCCCCCCAAACACTTTTTGCAACTTTCTGAGCTATAAAGGTGCCCTCCTAGAGAGCTGCGGGGCTGTCTTCTGTCCCCACTGGTTTTGGGAGAGACAGCCTCAGCCGGTAGGAATTACAAGCTTGCTTTATTTTGATTTAAATTGGGGTTGGTGGTCTTTTCTTTGAGTGATGGTTAATAGTTCCACGCCAGGATGTCCAGGAGTTTGGCCGCCAGCCCTAGGACCTAGGGAGTCCTCGACACGTGGCTAGAGCAACTGTGGAACGGAACCTGAGGCTTCACCTCGTTAGTTTACACAGCACCTTCCCAGCGGCTACCAGATCCCATCACCCGCCTCCGCTGCGTGCAGCCTGCACTCAAAGCGTTTGAACTCAAGCGCAGTGGAGAGCAGAGCCGCTGCGGAGCGCAGGCGCAACCCACAGTCACGTGGCCGCGGGTCCCGGTCCCATCTAGAGCACACCCGCCTCCCTCGATCGGACCCGCCCTGCCGCGCAGGCGCACACGCGCGGTGCCGCCTGCCTTTGCAGATTCGCGGAACCCAGCGAGGAGCGGCGGGGGCTTTGAAGGCCACAGTCACGCCTCACGCGGGGACCGGAGCTCGCGGCCGCCCGCCGGTTGAGGCCGGGCCAGGCCGGGTGGCCGGTGCGCTCAGGGAGGGATCCCGCTGTCCCGGACGCCCGGCGGCAGGCAGCATGGAGCCCGCGCGCTCTGCGGTCGGACTCAGCGTCCGGGAAGCGGTGCACATCCTCCAGTCTTCTGAGGACGATGGCCGCGTCCTCTCCGCCCTGGAGTCCCTGCAGCACTATCTGCGAGGAACCGGGGAGCCCGCGCTGCCGGGAGAGCAGGAGGAGTTCGCCGCCAAGCACTTCGCTGCCGTGCTGCGCTGTCTGGTCGGCAGGCTGAGCCCCCGCTGGCTGCAACTGTCGCCCTGCGACCGGCTGGAGCAGCTCTGGGACAGCTTCTTCCTGGAGGGCCCTGCTGACCAGGCCTTCCTAGTGCTGATGGAGGCCATCGAGGGCACTGCCGGGTGAGTGAGGCTGGGGGCTTGTGCAGCGGCCTGTGACTTGGAAGCACAGAAGGGCCTGGGGAATTGCAAACTGCAGGGTTCATCCTGGAAGGTGCCAGGGAGAGAACAGAGCCTGCGATCTGCTGAACCCCCTGGAACTGATAGTGACTGTGTTCTCTAAGATGGGGAGGACCTGCCGGCATCTCGACCTTGCAGGACGGCGGGAGGAGGGGTGTTCACATCACAGCAGGCCCCAGCCAGCTCCCCTAGGCAGTTAGCATTGCTGCTTCGTGGTCCCAGCCCTGCAGTGAGGCTTTCTGGGCACAGTGGCAGCTCTCAAGGCCTCTTGGGACATTTTCAGGTTTTCCAGGGAAGCACAGCTTTTTTGACACGTGCCTGCCATGGACCCCCCAGCCCCAGGCAGTTCCCATGTTCAGCATCAGATCACACACAGATCAGTCTTTGTGAGGACTCTGAGGAGTCTTTGAGAAGCTGGGTTTTTAGAAGTTGCTGTGATTAAAAGCATGAACTCTGTGAAAATCCACGCAGAGCAAGGGAGGAGGTGGTAGGGCCCAGCTGCACTCACCCCATTTGTATCTGATTCAGGAGTGGAGTACAAAGCGTGTTCTTTCAGCTTATGAGTTAAGACAAAATGTTACTGGAGCTGTTGGGACTACCTGTCTAAGGGGGGCTGTGGAGACTCCTTTGGCCCGGAGCAGGCTTAGGGGCTCTGCCCGATACACCTGTTCTTGTTCAGCCCCAGCTTCCGTCTGATGAAGATGGCACAGCTGCTGGCCAGGTTTCTGAGTGAGGGCAGGGTAGCGGCCCTGATGGAGGAGCAATGCCGGCCGCAGATGAAGCCTGGCTTTCCCCTGCTCCAGGAGACACTACTCAGCAAGGTGGTGAGCCTGCCTGACCACCTGGGCAACCATCTGCAGAAGGATAACCTGGCCCAGTTCTTCCCCCAGAACTACTTCCCACTGCTGGGTGAGGAGGCCGTGCGGGCGCTGCAGTCAGTGGTGGATTCTCTTCGAGGTGAGTGCTGTGTCTCCCTGCCCCTCTTCTCAGCTGTCATTCCCTCCTTCTCCATCCACTTCCCCTGCCAACTTGGGTTTGTCTCATATGCCTTTGGTGATGGCATTTCAGGCTCCCATGGCAAGGTGAAGGTGCTGGGAGGTCTTTGGGTCTGGAGGCAAGTGCTGCTGGTGGACTTGCTCATAGAGCACTAGGTATTATCCTGTGTGCTGTTTGGGGCTGGCTCTGCCTCTTCTGGGCCTCACAGGCATGGCTTCCAGTTTCAAGAGAAAGGAGTGTCTGGGGCAGTGTGATTCCATGGGTCAGTGGCCTGTAAGGCAAGGCCAGTGGGTGGATTTGCCTCTTCCTGCAGTATGGCCCCTCCCTTCTTATTTCTATCATGGGCTCACTCAGGCATGAGCTGCACCTCAGCTCAGCTTGTTTAACTCTGATTGCTTAACTCAATCTCCTTGTGGTGCTGAGTTCCCACTGTGGTTCACTGTCCTTCCATGTGCTCAGGCCCAACACCCTAAGTCCCCTGTGACCTGCACCCCTGTGGGACTCAGAGCCCAGGAGGAAGCTGGCACCCTCAAGTCTCTGCAGGTCTGTCCACCTGGTCAGGTATTGTGTGTGTTGTCCCATGACCTCCTTGCTTTCTCTCCCAGGTGGCCTACACTGTTCTGTCTCCTTTGTGTCTCGAGTCCTTGGGAAGGTGTGCATCCAGGGAAGACACAGTGAGTAGGGCCTGCCTTGGGGGAAGCAGCACCTGTCTCTCCCATTCAGCCCTTGGGAGAGGTTGAGAATCACTGCAAGCCCCTCAGCAGCAGTGGGAGCTGGTCCCAGCCTTCTTTGGGGTCTCTATGCTAGCCCTGGGTCCACAGAGGTTTGTCTTGGGGCTTAGTTGTGCTCTGGGGGGTTCCCTTGCTAGCCCTAGGTCCATTGAGGTTGGCTCTGGGGCTCAGTTGTGTTCTGGGGGGTCCCCTTGCTAGCCCTAGGTCCATTGAGGTTGGCTCTGGGGCTCAGTTGTGCTCTGGGGGGTCCCCTTGCTAGCCCTGGGTCCACTGAGGGCTTAGAGCTCTGGGGCTCAGTTGTGCTGGCTGGTAAGCCATGGTGCTGTGTACACTGGACCAGTGGTCCCCTGGCTGAGTGCAGCTCCTGAGGCTCATGTCCTCTCTGTGTCTCCTCAGAGGAGATCTTGGGCAGGTTGGTGCCCCAACTGACAGCACTCACCCAGGGCAGCTGCTTGTGGCAGCGGGTCTGCTGGCACCTAGTGGAGCAAGTGCCGGATGGGGCCATGGAGGCTGTGCTCACAGGATTGGTGGAGGCCACTCCAGGGTAAGCAGCACAGCACTCTTTCCAGTCAGTGCATCTCTGGGGGTGGGGGGTGGGGAGTGGGCTTTGTGGCAGCTGCCATTCCCTGTGCTGCTTTTCCTGGTGGCCCTGCTGTAGCCGGTTGTCCTGTTGTACTCCCTGGGTGCGTTGGCTGGTGCTGCCTTAGTATTGCTGATTTAGGCTGGCCACTGGTTGTGCAAATGCACACACTGATGGTGCCCACCTTCATCATTGCCAGTGGATCCTCCACA